CCACTTCACCACCCGAGATTCCACCCCCACACTCCCCCGGCTGGGCTTGTGCCAACGCCGGCGGTGGCGAGGAGTGAAAGTGGAGACGTGGCACGCGCTGCCCGCTGGTGGGCACCGTGAGGGCACCGCCCTCTGGCAGCAGAGGCCCCGTGGCCCGGGCATCGCTCTCAGGCTGAGCTCAGAGCCACCTCCTTCCAAAGACAAATATCCTCCGTATAGCCTTCAACGGGCTGCTGTTGGGGGCAAGTGCTGTTGGCGAGACGCGCCTATGAAGGCCGGCAAGGGCGCACGTGGTGCTGGGTGGCCAGCAACACGCCCGGCCGGCCGCCTTTGTCTCCCCGATGCCAAATGCTTACAAACTGCACCGGGTGCTCGTGTAATGAAGGTTGAGTCGACCTACGGGGGAGTCACACTCGGGTTTTGAGTCTGGTCTAGGGTTCCAGTGTCGGGACTCGGGTTAGGGATGCAGTCTGTGCCAAGGCTAACGGTTTGGTTTTTTGTCCAAACGTTAGGGTTTGAGTCGGGTCTAGGGTTTGAGTCGGGTCTAGGCGTGAAGGTTCGAGTCCGGGCTAAAGTGTGGCCTCGAGTCAGGCCCCTGACTTCACTCAACCACTGCCCTTGGGAGTTGAGCGCTGCTGGAGATGACAGCGACGAGAGCAACAGAAAGCAACCCACACGCCGCAGCCCTCCACAACGCCGACGACACGGAACGATCGGTCACACAGACCCGTGCGTGTATAAAAGATAGAAATCACGTTCAAAGCCTGGAGTGTACTCGGTATAAAAAAATATATATAACAATACAAAATCTTGATTACAATGGACGTTAACAGAGCCACGAGGTGCAGGGTCGATGCGACGCGCATGATCCACCACCAACCCTCTTCTTCCACAGCGCCGGGGACGGCTCCAGCACGCGACGTTACACACCGCCATCGCCTCCTTCCATCTGCCAGATCCCACAGGCGTCGTTGCACAGTCGACAACCTTCGCTTACGAGGTTCCGGTCTACACGGTTCATCATCACCACCACCCACCCATGGTCTATCCACTGCTAGACGATGGCCTCCACTGAGCCGCCGCCGCGATGTTCACGAGCCACTGACTCCCCCGTCTCAAGACGTCCTCTCATCGCCCGACTCCGTCATCCCCTCTAACAGGGCAATAAATACCGCGCGCGCGCGTGTGTGTGTGCGTCGTACGCCGATTATAAAAAAATATATATATGTAAAATACACGTACATCTAAACCGCATGTAACTTACACGAACACTGTGCTGGGTACGTGCACGGACAGGAGGAGGAGGAGGCTTTAACGGAAGCGACCGTGACTGGCGCGAGGGGTAGCCGAGCGAGTCGCTCCCCGCGGGGCTCCCCCCGTGGGGAGCGAGCGGCGTTCCGACTCCGCGCCACGGCGGCTCGAGACAGCGTGGCGGTGGCGAGCGCGGATCCTCGTGGCAGCTACAGTCGCCTTCACCTTCTCGCTGTCTCTCGCGCTGTCTCTCTCTCTGTCTCTCTCTCTCTCTGTTTCTCTCTCTCTCTGTCTCTCTCTGCGTCTCTCGCTCTCTCTGTCTCTCTCTGTCTCTCGCTCTCTGTCTCGCTCTCTGTCTCTCTCTCTGTCTCTCTCTTTTTTTTTCAACGTAAAAATTACAACTTTATTGTATAAACAAGGGAACATTTATGTTACGTACAAACAATCCTTGCTGCATCTAAACAATTGCATCAATGTATTATTTTCCAAGAATATTATGAAACTGTCTATGAACGCTTGACATCATAAACATGAAGAGCTTATGGACAGCTATACTCTGTCTCTCTCACTCTCTCTGTCTCTCTCTGTCTCTGTATCTCTGTCTCTCTCTGTGTCTCTCGCTCTCTGTCTGTCTCTCTCTGTGTCTCTCACTCTCTATCTCTCTCTCTGTCTCTCTGTCTCTCGCTCTCTGTCTCTCTCTCTCTGTGTCTCTCGCTCTCTGTCTCTCTCTGTGTCTCTCGCTCTGTCTCTCTCACTCTGTCTCTCGCTGTCTCTCCAATCGGGATCAAGCCTTCCGTAAGTCACACGACTTCTGCTTGGTCACCCCCCCACCCCCCACTCGGAATCCCTACACCTCTCATCGATCTATTTATAAATCAGCTCAAGCCTCCCGTAAGTCACGCGACTTTTGCATGGTCACCCCCCCCCCACTCTGAATCCCTACCCCTCTCATCTACATATGTTTGATATCTTTGAATCAGCTCAAGCTTTCCCGTATCACGTGACTTGTGTGTAGCCCCCCCCCACTCTGAATCCATCCCCTCTCCCCGCCCCCTGTAAAAACAGACGCTGCTCCTAAGCGCAGCTCTCTTCTGCTCGCTCCTTACATCTCTCTCTCTTCCCACCCCTCCCGTCCCTCGACATCTTGGCCCAGTCACTCGCTTCTCTCCCTCCTGCTCCCTTTTCTGCTCCCCCTTCCTGCACCACCGCTCCCCCTCCTCCTCCTCTCTCCCTGCTGCTGCTGCTCATCCTGGAGCTGTGTTCTGCTCCTCCTTTTTGTCCGTCCCGGCCTCCACTCCCCCCCCCACACCCCGCTCCTCTCTCCTCTTCCCATTCATTCGCCCATCCTTGACTCCCCTTCCCGTGTTGTGTGGCACCGTGACAAATATTGATCGTAAATTGATAAAAAAAAACTTAAAATTCAACCAGAAGTTTTCCTGGAGCCTTAACCAGGGATTAAAGTATCTCTCATATTTTCTGGAACGCTGCGAGGCTGACCTTGGAGTAGGGATTATATTATCGGCGTAAGGCACTACCACTGGAGTACAAGGTACGGCTGTCCACAATCATCCTGCATTGTTGTACCCAGCAGTGCAAACAATGGGGTCCAGTTTCTCAAATGCCCCCCCCGCCAACGTCTCTCTCCACCCAGCAGTAAAAAAACTTCAATCACGTGTGCTGGGTGAAGTGTGAGTATGCTGACACCTCTTCCGACAACTAACAGCGTGGAGGAGTGGCGCATGCTCTGTATCCCTATAACCCTACCCTATAACACTGTATCTAGCCCTATAACCATGTAACCCTATAACCGTGTTGAGGACGACACGAGGCGACGTGGGTGTGTGTGTGTGGTTGTGTTTTTGGCTGTGTGTATGTGGGTGTGTGTGTGGTTGTGTGTGGGTGTGTGTGGTTGTGTGTGGGTGTGTGTGGATATGTGTGTGTGTGTGGTTGGATGTGTGTATGTGGGTGTGTGTGGGTATGTGTGTGTGTGGGTGTGCCGCTGCAGCAGTGTTCCGGCACGAGCTGTCCCAGCTGCGATTGAGAGCCGAGTCTCGAGACTCGGGAGGGTCCCCGCTACACTGGAATGTTTGTAAACGTCCTCACGTCATGATCCAATAACCAAACTCCAGTCCTGCTCCATTAACCAAACTCCAGTCCTGATCCAATAACCAAACTCCAGTCCTGCTCCAATAACCAAACTCCAGTCCTGATCCAAGAACCAAACTCTAGTCCTGATCCAATAACCAAACTCTAGTCCTGCTCCAATAACCAAACTCCAGTCCTGATCCAATAACCAAACTCTAGTCCTGATCCAATAACCAAACTCCAGTCCTGTACCAATAACCAAACTCCAGTCCTGCTCCAATAACCAAACTCCAGTCCTGATCCAATAACCAAACTCCAGTCCTGCTCCAATAACCAAACTCCAGTCCTGATCCAATAACCAAACTCCAGTCCTGCTCCATTAACCAAACTCCAGTCGTGATCCAATAATCAAACTCCAGTCCTGATCCAATAACCAAACTCCAGTCCTGATCCAATAACCAAACTCCAGTCCTGCTCCAATAACCAAACTCCAGTCCTGATCCAATAACCAAACTCCAGTCCTGATCCAATAACCAAACTCCAGTCCTGATCCAATAACCAAACTCCAGTCCTGATCCAATAACCAAACTCCAGTCCTGATCCAATAACCAAACTCCAGTCCTGCTCCAATAACCAAACTCCAGTCCTGCACCAATAACCAAACTCCAATCCTGATCCAATAACCAAACTCCAGTCCTGCACCAATAACCATACTCCAGTCCTGATCCAATAACCAAACTGCAGTCCTGATCCAATAACCAAACTCCAGTCCTGATCCAATAACCAAACTCCAGTCCTGATCCAATAACCAAACTCCAGTCCTGCTCCAATAACCAAACTCCAGTCCTGCACCAATAACCAAACTCCAATCCTGATCCAATAACCAAACTCCAGTCCTGCACCAATAACCAAACTCCAGTCCTGATCCAATAACCAAACTGCAGTCCTGATCCAATAACCAAACTCCAGTCCTGATCCAATAACCAAACTCCAGTCCTGATCCAATAACCAAACTCCAGTCCTGATCCAATAACCAAACTCCAGTCCTGCTCCAATAACCAAACTCCAGTCCTGCACCAATAACCAAACTCTAGTCCTGATCCAATAACCAAACTCTAGTCCTGCTCCAATAACCAAACTCCAGTCCTGATCCAATAACCAAACTCCAGTCCTGATCCAATAACCATACTCCAGTCCTGATCCAATAACCAAACTCCAGTCCTGATCCAATAACCAAACTCCAGTCCTGATCCAATAACCAAACTCCAGTCCTGCTCCAATAACCAAACTCCAGTCCTGCACCAATAACCAAACTCCAATCCTGATCCAATAACCAAACTCCAGTCCTGCACCAATAACCAAACTCCAGTCCTGATCCAATAACCAAACTGCAGTCCTGATCCAATAACCAAACTCCAGTCCTGATCCAATAACCAAACTCCAGTCCTGATCCAATAACCAAACTCCAGTCCTGATCCAATAACCAAACTTCAGTCCTGATCCAATAACCAAACTCCAGTCCTGATCCAATAACCAAACTCCAGTCCTGCTCCAATAACCAAACTCCAGTCCTGATCCAATAACCAAACTCCAGTCCTGATCCAATAACCAAACTCCAGTCCTGCTCCAATAACCAAACTCCAGTCCTGCACCAATAACCAAACTCTAGTCCTGATCCAATAACCAAACTCTAGTCCTGCTCCAATAACCAAACTCCAGTCCTGATCCAATAACCAAACTCCAGTCCTGATCCAATAACCATACTCCAGTCCTGATCCAATAACCAAACTCCAGTCCTGATCCAATAACCAAACTCCAGTCCTGATCCAATAACCAAACTCCAGTCCTGCTCCAATAACCAAACTCCAGTCCTGCACCAATAACCAAACTCCAATCCTGATCCAATAACCAAACTCCAGTCCTGCACCAATAACCAAACTCCAGTCCTGATCCAATAACCAAACTGCAGTCCTGATCCAATAACCAAACTCCAGTCCTGATCCAATAACCAAACTCCAGTCCTGATCCAATAACCAAACTCCAGTCCTGATCCAATAACCAAACTCCAGTCCTGCTCCAATAACCAAACTCCAGTCCTGCACCAATAACCAAACTCTAGTCCTGATCCAATAACCAAACTCTAGTCCTGCTCCAATAACCAAACTCCAGTCCTGATCCAATAACCAAACTCCAGTCCTGATCCAATAACCAAACTCCAGTCCTGATCCAATAACCAAACTCTAGTCCTGATCCAATAACCAAACTTCAGTCCTGTACCAATAACCAAACTCTAGTCCTGCTCCAATAACCAAACTCCAGTCCTGATCCAATAACCAAACTCCAGTCCTGCTCCAATAACCAAACTCCAGTCCTGATCCAATAACCAAACTCCAGTCCTGCTCTATTAACCAAACTCCAGTCGTGATCCAATAATCAAACTCCAGTCCTGATCCAATAACCAAACTCCAGTCCTGATCCAATAACCAAACTCCAGTCCTGCTCCAATAACCAAACTCCAGTCCTGATCCAATAACCAAACTCCAGTTCTGATCCAATAACCAAACTCCAGTCCTGATCCAATAACCAAACTCCAGTCCTGCTCCAATAACCAAACTCCAGTCCTGCTCTAATAACCAAACTCCAGTCCTGCACCAATAACCAAACTCTAGTCCTGATCCAATAACCAAACTCCAGAACTTCACCAATCACCGGTGAATGTTCGATGGCCCGACCACGTGTTCTCAACTCAATCGAGTCGGTGGTTCTCAACGGCGACTTGGCCCAGCGTGGCATTCAGCTCTGTTGAGCTGGTGGTCTGGGCAAGGCCCGAGAGCCTTCTACACACGCGATGCTTTGCACGCTTCCGTGTCGCGCCTCCGGGTTGCACAAGGCACCCAGCCGCAGCGTCACACCGAACTCATCGGGCGTCGAGAGTGTGAACCCACCGTGTTTCCCACAGCAACGAGACGGCTGCATCTCGGGTTTCGCCCGCGTTAAGTCTCATCAGCGCGCCATAGCCATCGCCACCTTCTGCTGCAATGGGTCTGCCTTGTTGCGCCTTAATGCGGGGGGAGCGCCGGCTACGAAACCCGGCCACCCGAGTTCGATTCCTGCCCACGGCCACCAACACCAGTAACGCACGGCCGCCTTTGTCTCCCCAGCGGCGATGTTTACACACCGCACCCAGGCACTCGTTTAGGGCCGGGTCTATCTAGCGGAGGCCCCTAAACGGTTCAGATATTCGCCGCCGATGTTGGCCGTGAGCGCGAATCGAATTCGGGTTTTGTTTCCTGCACCTCCGCAACGCCTCCCACGTGCGCGCCTGAGTTGGTTCTCGCTACAGAACAGCACTTGCCCCAATATCCTGACATAGGTTACCCAGGACACCTTTGTCTCTCTGCATATGCGTGGCTACAGAAAAAGACAAAGATCCCCCGTATAGGCTTAACGGGCGATTGTACCCCCGACTTGTCTACACGTGGCCCGACACCACCGCTGTCCAACGCTCCGTGCTCGTACCCACATCAGCTTCCTTGGCGATCCTCTTGGTCGGTGGCCCCTGATTGGATTCCCCTGTGGTAGGGGTCCCCCTTTTATGGGGGGAGTCCCTTGGTAGGGGTCCCCTTGGTCGGGGCCACTTTGGCGGGGGGTTCTTTGGTAGCGGTCCCCTTCGTCGGGGTCACCTTGTCGGGGTGTCCGTTGGTAGGGGTCCCCTTATCAGGGGTCCCCTTGGTAGGGGTCCCCTTGGTCGGGGTCACTTTGGCGGGGGGTTCTTTGGTAGCGGTCCCCTTCGTCGGGGTCACCTTGTCGGGGTGTCCGTTGGTAGGGGTCCCCTTATCAGGGGTCCCCTTATCAGGGGCCCCCTTGGTGGAAGGTCGCTTGCGCGTCGACCCCGCGGGGCCTCTACCCGCCCCGTCCCCTGCACCTTCGCGCGGTCCCGATCTCCCAGAAAGGCAGCGCTCCGCGCGCTCCCTCGCATCCTCCCTCGCCTCGCGCTCCGCCAGAGCGCCCACGGTGTTCCAAAAGAACTCGAGCCGAGCGCTCACCCAGCGCAGCTCTCCCGGCTGCACTCCCTGCAGAAGATTCGCCTCCTGCTGCTGGTGCCGGCTTCCTCGCGTCGCTGGGCGCCGCTCCGGCTGCTGGGGACTGCGCTGCCACGCGGTGGCGGGAACAATGGCAGCGCTGCCCAGGAACGGGTGCGGAAGCTGCCCCCGATCGAGGCAGCCCCGCAGGAAGGTCACGAGGTCTCCCAGCCTCTGCGAGAGCCGCTCCTCCCCCCACGTTTCGGGGAACCCCGATTCCTGACCCCGGTGGCCCCGCGGTCTCGACGCGGCAGCGGCCCGGCAGGGCCCCGGATTGCCGCCGGGGGGCACCTCCGCCGCGCAGCCGTTCGTGCCGCAGGGCCCCATGGAGGTGGATGAGCCCAGGATGAGGTGGAAGAGCGCGGCCTTGAGGTGGAAGGTGCAGAGGAGGCGCGACCACAGCGCGGCAGCCGCGGGGTCGCGGTCGCGCAGCTCGGCTCCTGTCTCGTCCCTGAAGGCCTTGAGCAGCTGGAGGCACGTGATGTGGCACGGGGGGCCTCTCGCGCCGGGGTCCGAGGGGCCCTGGGGGCCCAAGCCGGGTCCGCCGAGCTCCGCGAGCCGAGCAAAGAGGCGCTGCTCGTGCGCCGGGAACAGGGCTCTCCAGGCCGGTGTGGGGCACGGGAACTTGGGGGGTGATGTCGGGGTGGAGGTGGGAGTCGGGGTTAGGGTGGCGGTTGAGGTTGATGCTTGGGTTGGAGTCAGATTCTGGGTTGGGGTCGCAGTTGAGGTGGGGGTCAGCGTCTGGGTCACTTTCGGGGTCAGGGTCTGCATTGGCGTTAAAGTCGGCGTCACGGTTGGGGTCTCGGTTGGAGTCTGGTTCTCGGTCTGGGTAGGGATCTGAGTTGGGCTCCGTGTTGAGGTGGGGATCATGGCCGGGTTTAGGCTCGGGGTCTCACCCTCTCCCCACTGCGGGGTCAGGAACACAGCCCCAACGCCGCCGCCGTTGTCTCCGCCGTCGTCGCTGGCCGCAGCAGCGAGGGGCAGCGCGGGCAGCATCCAGACGCGCAGGGGCAGGCGGCAGCACACGAAGTCCGCGCGGGGCAGGATGCGCACAACGACGCGGCCACGGGACTCGCGCGCGCTCACAGCGAGCGCGCTCTCTGCGCCGAGCCGCGCTCGCACCGCGCCCGTCGCGCGCAGCACCGCGCCGCGGAACCACGCGTGGACGCGCTCGGGGCACAGAGCGGCCCCGGCCGGGCAACAGAAGCCCTCGGCGAGGGCCCTGCAGGCGAGCGGGGCCCGCAGCGGGCAGTGCCCGTGAGGGGTCGGGGCCCCCGCTCCGCAGCGCGCGCGGTGCGTGGACCGCGCGGCGCAGAGGGCGGGGACGCAACCCGCGGCCGCCGGAACGCGCAGGGGGATGAGGAGGTCGTACGAGTCCGGACGAACGATGGCGTGCTGCTCGTAGCCGGACCCCGCGGGCACGAAGTCCCCGCGGAGGGCGGGTCCCCAAGGGTCTCCCGCGTAGGGGTCACCCCGGTGGGAGCAGTCGGGGCGCGCCACCAACGCCACCGCGTCCAACAAGGCCCGCGCGACGCGCTCCACGTGCGACTTGGCGTGCGCCACGGCGTGCGCAGAGACGCGCAGCCGCCGCCGGTGCAGGAGGACGAGGAGCGGCGAGGGGACCGGGCCGAGGGGAGCCGAGACCCCGCAGATCCCAACTCCGACGCCGATGCCCGGTGGTGTCGCCGGCTCCTGCGCGGCCGGGGTCTTCTTGTCGAGCAGCGGCGTCGCGCGCTCGCACGGAAGGGAGAGCAGCTTGTTCCGCACGTTCACCAGCATCACCGTCGTGGCCATCATCAGCAGCGGCAGCAGCAGTAAGAGGGCGAGGAGCGGCCGGTCAGACAGGAAAGGCAGGGCGTGGAGCAATGCGGCGGAGAGAGAATGCCGCTGCTGCTGCTGCTGCTCGTGCCGCTGCTCATGCTGTTGCTGCTGCTGCTGCGGAGGAGGAGGTGGCGAGGGGTCGGGACTCCCCGCTGTCCGCGGCTCGAGCGCGCTCAGGTAGAAGGTGCAGCAGAGAGCCGTGGCCACGCACAGCGCAGCGGAGGCCTCCCGGGGCAATCCCAGGGGCAAGGCCATGATGGCCGCGTTGGTCCTGGGGCCGGGACGCGGGCCCTGACCCTCCGCGAGGCCGCGATGGAGGAGGATGAGGCGGAGGCACCGGGAGGGGTAAGGCGCATTGTCCTTTGGAGGCTTCCCGGTCGAGTCTGGGATCGTGGCGGGCGTTGCCCTCTTGATCCGCGGCCTCTCTTCCTCCCGGTCGCTCTTTCTCTTCCTCCTCCTCCCCCGCCCGCCTTTGTCTCTCTCTCCCTCCTCCGGCTCCGCAGGCTCAGCCTCTTCCGTTGCGAGGCGCCGTTACGCAGCGGAACTGGAGGGGGACTCCGAGGGGGGGGGGATTAGACGCGGGGGAAACGTGGAGTTGGAGCAAAACGGGAACTGAGCGGAGTGTGGGAGTTTGGCAATGTGACGAGCGTGGGTGAGTGAGTGTGTGCGTGAGTGTACGTGTGTGAGTGTGAGTGAGTGTGTGAGTGTACGTGTGTGAGTGTGAGTGAGTGTGTGAGTGTACGTGTGTGAGTGTACGTGTGGGAGTGTGAGTGAGTGTGAGTGTACGTGTGGGAGTGTGAGTGTGTGTGTGAGTGTACGTATGGGAGTGTGAGTGAGTGTGAGTAGGAGTGTGAGTGAGTGTGAGTGTACGTGTGTGAGTGTGTGAGTGAGTGTGAGTAGGAGTGTGAGTGAGTGAGTGTGAGTAGGAGTGTGAGTGAGTGAGTGTGAGTAGGAGTGTGAGTGAGTGTGAGTAGGAGTGAGTGTGAGTGAGTGTGAGTAGGAGTGTGAGTGAGTGTGAGTAGGAGTGTGAGTGAGTGTGAGTGTACGTGTGTAAGTGAGTGTGAGTAGGAGTGTGAGTGTGAGTGAGTGTGAGTAGAAGTGTGAGTGAGTGTGAGTAGGAGTGTGAGTGAGTGTGAGTGAGTGTGAGTAGGAGTGTGAGTAGGAGTGTGAGTGAGTGTGAGTAGGAGTGTGAGTGAGTGTGAGCAGGAGTGTGAGTGAGTGTGAGTAGGAGTGTGAGTGAGTGTGAGTAGGAGTGTGAGTGAGTGTGAGTAGGAGTGTGAGTGAGTGTGAGTAGGAGTGTGAGTGAGTGTGAGTGAGTGTACTGTGTAAGTGAGTGTGAGTAGGAGTGTGAGTGAGTGTGAGTAGGAGTGTGAGTGAGTGTGAGTGAGTGTGAGTAGGAGTGTGAGTGAGTGTGAGTAGGAGTGTGAGTGTGAGTAGGAGTGTGAGTGAGTGAGTGTGGGGAGCGGTAGCGCGACCCTGGCGACCTGGGTTCGATTCCCGCTCACGGCCAACACCGGTGACGATTATCTGAACCGGTCCTGGGCCTCCCCTAGGTCGACTCAGCCTCAAATGAGTACCTGGCGCGACGTGTAGTAAACATCGCCACTGGGGAGACAAAGACGGTCGGGCGTGGTGCTGGCCACCTACCCCCTCGTGTGCCATGCCAGCCTTCATAGGTGCTCGCTAACAGCACTTGCCCCAAGAGTATGCTAAGGCTATACGGGGGATCTGTGTCTTTGTGGCAGTGTGATGAGCGTGGGAGTATAATGAGTGTTTGTGAGTGTGTGTTGTATGTACTGTATGTGTGTGAGTGTGAGCGTGTCTTCTCTTGTATATTGGGGAGCGGTGGTGCAGTGGTAATCTCGCTGTGCACGGCCAACACCAATGACGAGGAGCTGAACCGGTCCTGCTCCTCCCCCCCCCGTTAGGTCGACTCAGCCCTAAATGAGTACCTGGTGTGATATGTAGTCAACATCGGCACGAGGGAGACAAGGACGGGCGGTCGTGGTTTGTGGAAACCCAACCATCCCTCCTCGTGTGCCGTGCCGGCCTTCAAAAGTGCTCATCGCTAATTGCACTTGCCCCGGCAGCCCCGTGTAGGCTACACGGGGCATCTTCATCTGTGCGTCGGGTATATTTAGCGGAGCGCAGAGCCACGGAGGGCACGGGGGTTGGGAGCAAGGCCACGCCGAGGCGCCGTGCCCTGCCCGGGTGGTCTAAGCTTGTTTATTTGTTGTTTTTATTCAGTCGTGGTAGCTGAGCAATAAAGGCAACGTCAACGTTGTAATCAGTAAGAGTGTACGCGTGGTTTGCGGGAGGGGAGGGGGCGAGATCAGACGGTGGTGGTGGTGGTGGCGGTGGGAGGGAGGAGATTCCAGAGTGGAGCGGTGCGAGGGAAGACGCGGAAGAAGAAGTGAGGTGAGCCTGCAGTGTGGTGAGTTAGGCGAGTGGGTGGGCGAGTAGGTGGGTGGGTAGGTGGGTGGGTAGGTGGGTGGGTGAGTAGGTGGGTGGGTAGGTGGGTGAGTGAGTAGGTGGTGGGTATGTGGGTGGGTGAGTAGGTGAGTGGGTAGGTGGGTAGGTGGGTGAGTGTGTAGATGGGTGCGTGAGTACGTGGTTTAGTGGGTGGGTGAGTAGGTGGGTGAGTGTGTAGGTGGGTGGGTGGGTGTGTAGTTGTGTGGGTGAGTATGTGGGTAGGTGGGTGGGTGAGTAGGTGGGTGAGTTAGTATGTGGTTGAGTGGGTGAGTGAGTAGGTGGGTGGGTGAATAGGTGGGTGGGTGAATATGTGGGTGAGTGTGTATGCCAGTTTTTGGGTGGGTGAGTATGTGGTTGAGTAGGTAGGTGGGTGGGTGAGTAGGTGAGTGGGTGAATATGTGGGTGGGTGAGTATATGGTTGGGTAGGTGGGTGGGTGAGTAGGTGGGTGGGTGAGTGTGTGGGTGAGTGAGTATGTGGTTGAGTAGGTGGGTGAGTGAGTAGGTGGTGGGTATGTGGATGGGTGAGTAGGTGGGTGGGTAGGTGGGTGGGTAGGTGGGTGAGTGTGCAGGTGGGTGCGTGAGTACGTGGTTTAGTGGGTGGGTGAGTAGGTGGGTGGGTGAGTGTGTAGTTGTGTGGGTGAGTATGTGGGTAGGTGGGTGGGTGAGTAGGTGGGTGAGTGGGTGAGTGAGTAGGTGGGTGGGTGAGTAGGTGGGTGGGTGAATATGTGGGTGGGTGAGTAGGTGGTTGAGTAGGTACATAGGTGGGTGAGTAGGTGGGTGAGTGTGGATGTGGGTGGGTGAGTGTGTGGGTGAGTGAGTAGGTGGGTGGGTGAGTAGGTGGGTGAATATGTGGGTGGGTGAGTATGTGGTTGGGTAGGTGGGTGGGTGAGTAGGTGGGTGGGTGAGTGTGTGGGTGAGTGAGTGAGTATGTGGTCGAGTAGGTAGGTGGGTGAGTAGGTGGGTGAGTGTGTGGGTGAGTATGTGGTTGAGTAGGTAAGTGGATGAGTAGGTGGGTGAGTGTGTATGTGGGTGGGTGGTGAGACTTGTTTTGACTTGAAGTGTGGACAAGATGAAACACCCAGCACTTCCGATGACCACGGTTGGCTACGCACGGCGCGAAAGAAGATCACCATACATACAGACCAAGCGCTGTACGCCGGTGGAGGGATCTGCGTATGTATGCAGGACTTCTTTCGCACTGTGCTAATCGCAGGTGAAGTTCACTCATTGAATGAATTTCACCCATTGAGTGAGGTTCACCCATTGAGTGAGGTTCACCCGTTGAGTGAGGTTCACTCATTGAGTGAGGTTCACTCATTGAGTGAGGTTCACCCGTTGAGTGAGGTTCACCCGTTGAGTGAGGTTCACCCGTTGAGTGAGGTTCACTCATTGAGTTAAGTTCACTCATTGAGTGAGGTTCACCCGTTGAGTGAGGTTCACCCGTTGAGTGAGGTTCACCCGTTGAGTGAGGTTCACCCGTTGAGTGAGGTTCACCCATTGAGTGAGGTTCACTCATTGAGTGAGGTTCACCCGTTGAGTGAGGTTCACCCATTGAGTGAGGTTCACTCATTGAGTGAGGTTCACCCGTTGAATGAGGTTCACTCATTGAGTTAAGTTCACTCATTGAGTAAGGTTCACCCGTTGAGTGAGGTTCACTCATTGAGTGAGGTTCACTCATTGAGTTAAGTTCACTCATTGAGTGAGGTTCACCCGTTGAATGAGGTTCACTCATTGAGTGAAGTTCACTCATCAACCACGGCAGTGGCAGTAGCGATAGAAGCGAGACAAGGAGGCGGCTGGTTGCCGGTGAGTGAGCGAGTGGCTGCCACAGAATCGGCGAGTGCCGGATCACGAAGCTTCCCCGATCGCCGCTCCCCCCCCCCCACGACCACAACTCACGCGGGCACACGATCGCACGCTAGGCAGCAACAACACCAGGGGCGCGTGTGTGACTGTATTGCACAAATCCGCGTTTATTTAAGTTAATTGTAAAAAAAAAGAAACATCACAAAACGAATTAGTCACAAATGACCCCCTTGGGCGAGCGCGCTGGCACGGCAGTTCACGGGATCGACGCCGGGGCCGCGTGCGCACGGGCCGATACCGCAATAAGTTAGACCTCATGTACAGACAAAGACAGAGATCCCACCCCCGGATAGCCTGAACAGGCTGCTGGGGCAAGTGTTGCTGCTGAACACCTATGAAGGCTGGCACAGCACACAAAGACAAAGATCCCCCCGGATAGCCTTAACAGACTGTTGGTGCAAGTGCTGCTAGCGAGTAGCACACAGCACATGGGGGGGCGGGGGGGGGGGGGGGCGGGTGTTGGTAAACACCACGCCCGGCCGCATTTGTCTCCCTCGTGGCGATATTTACACATCGCACCGGGTACAAATTTTAGAGGTTGAGTCGACCTAGGGGAGGCCCATGAACGGTTCAGATAATCGTCACTGGTGTTCGTGGCTGTGAGTGGGAATCGAACTCGGATGGCTGCGCAATAACCACTACACTACCGCTTCCCAATATACATACGCTCCCTACACACATGTCTGTGTGTGATTGACTCGCCCGACGTTTCGGGCTCTAGTCCTCTGTATAGAAAACATAGACACAGATCCCTTCTCCATAGGTGCTCGCTAACAGCACTTGCCCCAACAGTCTGTTAAAGCTGCACGGTGGATCTTTGTTTATCTTTGTGTATATACAATTGTATCCTACCGCATGTACATATATACTGCATCTTTGAGCGATAACATTTATAACCGTTGATGCAGTTTACATGAAATGTACAACCCCTTGTGTCAATCCACTGCTAGATGAAGGCCGCCTCCCCACGCCGCGTCGCGTCGGTCGTAAGGGGGGGCCTTGCTTGACCATACTTCACCACGCTGGTCAGTGCGGGTTTGTGAAGCGGTGGAAGGGGTGGTGTGGGGGGGGAGACCAGAATCGGTTCCGATAGCACTCTGAGCCACTCATGTTAGCCGTGGTCGGGAATGGAACGGTGGGCGGGCCGGGTCCCATTGCGCTAACCGCTTCCCCCACCGTTCCCATACACCGGCGTTGCGTCCACGTGACCTGTACTGCACGCGCGGGCGGTGTCTCGTGGCTCTGGGGGGGGGGGGGGGTGACCCCCAGTGCCCGTCATTGAAGGCAGTCCCGGCCGATTTCCCGGAACGCTCTCAAACGCATTGCGAACAGAGTGCCCTGTGGGGCCCCTCGTTCGTTCTCGTTTTCGTATCAAGAACCTCGTTTTATCTCCCCCATGATCAAATTGAGCCCATTTACTGCTGGTAATTATTGTATTTCACATCGTTTTTGAGCTCTCTCTGTCTCTCTACACACCCCCCCCCCAAAACTCCGCCGTTATATCAGGCCACGTTCTTTTTGGTGACAGCCACGACGCAGACAACGACTCCCTCCATTCACGTCGATTAATTATTATCGGAACCCTCTCTCTCTCTCTCGCCGCCTAGGTGCGCGTTGGAATCGAACCGCGAGGGATGGAGGGGGTGGGTCTTTAAACGGTTTAACCGGCAACCGTTTAGAGAGCCGATATGATAATCGATTTATTTAGTTTTTTTCCCCCCCGATGGTTCAGGAAAGTCAGGGATCGGAAAATAGTTTCCCGTAGAATTGTCTTCGGCAAGAGGTGAGCTTGCTCCAGACACTTTTAGGCCACTTCCACACCGCGTAGCAGACTTTCGCGACCGATAGTATTCATAATAAAGGTTTTTGGGTTACATTGCATAAGTGTAAATGTTGTCGTAACCCTCCACCACCCGACACAGCCAATTAGCAAGGAATTTGTCACGCAAACAAAACGCCAATTGGTGTACTACTTCAGCCCACCGGTGCGTTTGGAGAGTAAATCCACAACATTTACATTTTGAGTAGTACGACGTTTCGCCGGTAATTATTGCTTTCGACCAGTGGAGCTCATAACCTTTACTTGCAGCCTCGCACCCCTTTGGTTTCTCACTCGTTATATATATAAAAACAAACAATGTACAATGTTAATAAATACGTCGGGGTTTCATGAAACGAAGTAAGTTGTAACTTACACGCACCCGTGCTTCGTGTTTTTTTCGATGATTTACCTTCTACAATAATCTGGCCGTGTCTCGCCACCCCCAGGAAGGGCATCTCGCACTCCGAGGGGGTGCGTCCACCCCAGGTTAATAAGCAGAACCCACACTGCTCTTGATATTTGTATAATGTGCGGCAAAACCGGTTTAACCAAATTAATCGTTTTTTGTATTTACTCATGATAAACGTGTTTGGGTTAGATCGCGTTATTTATAAATGTGTCGTAACCCTGCACCACCCGACACGGCCAATCAGCAAAAAAAGTGTCACGTTGACAAAAGACAAAATAGTTCACTATTTTAGTACTCAAACTGTAAATGTTGTGGATTCACTCTTCAACACACCGGTGGGCTAAAGTAGTGAACTATTTTGTCTTTTGTCAACGTGACACTTTTTTTGGTGATTGGCCGTGTCGGGTGGTGGAGGGTTACGACACATTTATAAATAACGCGATCTAACCCAAAAACGTGTATTATGAATAATATATGTCGCGAAAGCTTACGTGTTATGTATTTACGTTGAGCGGTTACCGGTTATGCAAGAATATTACGTTTTTAACGACGTCAGCATGATGCCATTAATGTTGTGTGTTGTGTGCGACAGGCTCACGTAAACTCGTCCACTAGCAAATGCAGGCCCTTAAATTTGCCACGACTTAAAGAGAGTGGGGGAAAAATCGACAATTGAATCGAACTGCGACAAATACATTCCGTTGCGGCTGAGGTTTGATGTCTGTTCTTGGGTGTGTAATGTGCATCGCGGTGGTTATGAGATGTTAATTACTTCGCCTGGTATACAGGAGGTCGTGGGTACGATCCCTACCCTGACGCCTGGTGCTTTATATTTGGAGTGCGTCTCTCTCTCCCCGTAGAGATGTTGACTGCCTCGCCTGGTATGCAGGAGGTCGTGGGTTCGATCCCGACCCTGACGCCTGCTGCCATATATTTGGAGTGGGTCTCTCTCTCTAACCGTAGAGATGTTAACTGTCTCGCCTGGTATGCAGGAAGTCGTGGGTTCGATCCCGACCCTGACGCCTGCTGCTATATATTTGGGGTGGGTCTCTCTCCCCGTAGAGATGTTAACTGTCTCGCTTGGTATGCAGGAAGTCGTGGGTTCGATCCCGACCCTGACGCCTGCTGCTATATATTTGGAGTGGGTCTCTCTCCCCGTAGAGATGTTAACTGTCTCGCCTGGAATGCAGGAAGTCGTGGGTTCGATCCCGACCCTGACGCCTGCTACTATATATTTAGAGTTTCGTCCCCGTGGTTGCGTGGATTTTTTCTCTGGGTCCTTCGGTTTCCCCATCGACATTTAGAAACATGCGTCTTAGATTAAATGGCTGCAATAAATTTCCACATGACAAGCCACTTCGTTGAACTATCATTTGTGGCCATGTCGCTTCTGACAAGGAGTTATATAGCTCAGTGGGCCTTACCTGGTGAAATAAAAAATAAATATATCAAAGGAAAACTGTGTACGTGTGTGTCATATCCATAACCGGAATCCGGCCTCGGCGGGCTTTTTATCGGCTTGAACGTCACACTCTCAAAAACACGGGCCCGACAGACACGGCTTGCTCGCCACAAGGTGCGTGGTTAGTGGCTTCGGCGACCTTCCAAAGCAACCAGAGGCAGAAGCAGAGAAACATTTTGGTGTTTTGTTTGTGTCCCCAAATTTTGCGAGGTTTCGATATTGGACATTTTTTTTTTAGTTTTCGGATTTTACAACTAAAGTAACCTTTGTCATTTACGTTCAAATCTGTAGCTACAAAAATAATGTGTCCCGTGCCCCGATAACAACGACAACAACACACGTCATACGTTATTGTCGAATTTTGCCCAGGATTTGTTTTCAAAGGGCACTGTTGTTGATTGTTAACTTTCGTCACGGGCTCGTGTTCGCTGGGGTCGTTCATTCCGGCCGAGAGACGCCGTCACGTCCCGCATGCGAACCCCGCTCCTTCTCATTCCGCTCGAGGAGACGCGGCCCAGCGACGACATCTCCCCACTGCAGTATATGTCTACTGTATACGCGTGTGGAAAAACTACGTTAGAAAAGGCATTTCTTTAGAACTGTTTTTTTGTTGTTGTTGTGATTAGCACGGTTGGCTACGTATGGTGCGAAAGAAGTGTAACGGGTCACGTGTGTTCCATTGGATGGCGACTCGATCTCGTGAAGAGACTTCATCTTACGCAGTGATCACGCGCACACACACGGGCACAGTACTCAAATAACGACAACATTCGGCCCGTGAGTGGCATCCGCTGCTGGATGAAGCCCCCCCCCCCCCACGCCGTGATGGTCGTAAGTGGGGGGGGGGTTGTTTGACCATACTTCACCACGCTGGTCAGTGATGTTAGCCCTGGTCGGGAATGAAACCCAGGGCGGTCGGGTTCACAACGCAGTGCGCTAACCGCTGCGCCACCGCTCCAACGTACCCGGGATATACGCGCACATACGCACATACCAGAAAAAAAAACCATACACACAGTGATACATACACATTGAGAAAAGCTTAGCTACACAGACACACTAACACACACCTTGACAAAGAAACAGATATACATACACTTGTATTCATAATAATATATTTACAGATACATAATTACGTACATACATTAAAACACACACACATACAGCATATACATACATACAAGTACATGACTATCGCTACTGAAGCATGTTTAACATATACGTACGTATATATTTATATAAATACAGTCTATCAATATTGCCGTACACAGGTCGCATATATATACACACACAGATGTATGGGTCACTGACATACACAAACGGAACACTACACGTATACGTATAGCATATGCAAGGACAAATATCCCCCGTATAGCCTTTAACGGACTATTGGGGAAAGTGCTGTTAGCGAGCACCTATTAAGGCGGGGATGGGGCACGAGGGGGTAGTGTGTTCAGCTCCATGCCTACCCGGCCGCCTTTGTCTCCCCAGTGTCGATGTTTACACATCGCCACCAGTACTTAATTAAGGCTGAGTCGACCTAGGGGTGACCCAGGACCGGCTCAGATATTCGTCACGCGATGTTGGCAGTCCAATCTCGCGTCTCATGCACACACACACACACAGACACATGTATACACATTGAATATACGGTACACACACACATACATGCCCATACAGCCAGATGAACGTACACACACGCATGTAAACTCGTCCACGCCTCGTCCCAGACCCGCACCGTTCTCACAGCGCATTGCACTAACCACTGCGCCGCCGCTCCCGTGTGTACACACTCACCCAAACATGTGCTCACGCGTACACGCAGAGAGCACACGCGCACACACAAACACACGCGCGCTCGCATCATGTAAACTCGTCCACGCATCACTCATCTCTCGCGTTCCAGACCTGCGCCCCGCTCCATCTCCTCTCTCAACAACGGTTGCTGGCCCCGCCAGGATATGGCGGAGGCACTGACTTGTAGGGCTGCTTCAACTGCGGCTGCTGCAACTTCTGCTGCTGCAACTTCTGCTGATGCTTCTGCTGCTGCTTCTGCTGCTGCTGCTGATGCTGCTGCTGCAGGCGCTGCTCGTGCCCGGCGCTCGAGCGGCGCAGGGCGCGCTGGCTGCACGCCAGGTCGGCCACGTAGGCGACGAGGTTGAGGGCCGTGAATGCGCTCACGAGGACGTGGACGTCCCACGCGCAGCGCTCGTGCGCGCAGCGCGAGGGCCGCGCGGCGCTCCCGTACTGGGGGTCGAAGGCGTACACGGGCCAGATGACGGCCGCGCTCACGTAGAGTAGCACGGCCAGCAGAGTGGCGAGCGCCACGCCGCGCTCCAGCGGCACGCAGCAAGCAGCCGCCGCGGTGGCGGTGGTGGCGCTGGTGGTGGTGCCGCTGGCGGTGGCCGCGTCTGCGGCGGCGCCGCCGCGAATGCTCAGCACGGTGACGAGCAGCGTGAGCGCGAGGCACAGGCAGTAGACCGCCAGGCACCAGTGCGTGGCCAGGTAGCGGCCGTACTGCCCTCCGCTGAAGACGCAGCCCAGGATGACGGCGCCGCAGAAGATTTCGGCGACGCGCAGGAGACCCGAGACGCTCGCCATGGCCGCGCGGCCCTCCGCCGCCTTGCCCGGCCGCGCCACGGCGAGGCCCGCGTCGATACCGTAGGCGAGGCAGGCGCCCGCCGAGCAGCAGGTGACGGCCACCCTGAAGGCGCGCACGGCCTCGCAGCCGCGGAAGAAGCACTGGTAGTCGCGCAGCGAGAAGAGCGGGTAGAGCGCGGAGGCCGTGGCGCAGAGGAGCGCGGCGAGCGCGGCCAGGGAGACGCGCAGGTTGTGCCACGAGGCGGGGATGCAGGCGGAGACGCGCGACAGCTCGAGCACGAGCACGGCTGCGCTCAGCGCCAGGCACACGGCCCAGACGAGGAGGCAGAGGAGGCCGTAGGAGAATGCCCAGCCGCCGCGGTGCACGGCGAGGCTGAGCGCCGCGCACGTGAGGGCCGCCTGCAGCAGGCGGAGGAGGCCGCGCGGGCTCAGCACGGAGCCCCAGTCCAGGTAGCCGCCGCCGCTGCCGTCCTCGTTGTCGCCGCCGTCCATCGTCTCTCCTGGGGTATGGGCGCAGCGAGGGTGGGGTCATCATCGTCATCATAAATGCCACCATCATAACCATCATCATCATCATCATAAGTGCCATCATAATCACCATCATAATCATCATAATCACCATCATCATCATCGATGTCCTCGGACTATAATCTCTTATCTGTGGGAGATTTCTCCCGATCAGAATTTAACGTCCCAGCGACGCGCGTCATCGTCGTGGTCTCGGGCGACACGGCGTGTGCCGGCGTGCTCCGGGCCGAGTGGATGACTCGCCTGGCCGGCCCACGGCGGCGCGAGTCGGGGCCACCCGCCTCGTGGAGGCGGCCACTCGCTCCCTCCTCGTCGCTGGGAGATGACCCCCACCCCCCCACCCCCACCCCATCCCCAACTCTCGTGGAGCCACGGGGGGGGGGGGGGGGAGCCGGGGCTCGTGGCACCAATGCGGGTGGGAATCGATTAATTTATTTGAACAGATGATCCAATTTACGATTTCGTTTCGGGTGCATCTGGGTGTCCCCCCTCTTTTTGTTTGATTTCTGTACATTTTTTCGCAGAGTATTTGATGAGATTTTCTTACATGGTGATGCTACTGCCGCGTTGGCAGCGGTGCACAAGCACAGACGACAACACCGCTCAACACGTCCCCTGTCAGTTTCACACGTAGTCGGCTTTCGCGACCAATATCATCCATAATAGAGTTTTTTTGGGGTTATATCGCGTAATAAGAACACCGGGTGTGCGTGTGGGCCGTAAACAGGGCACGCATATATACTCGGCGACGTTTCGGGCAATGCACCTAATCGCCGAATAATTTTGCGTGGGTGATTGTCGAACGTTGCAGGACGTCGTGTGATGTTGCGTCGCTCACTCGCTCACGCTCTCCTCCCATTTTTTTCGCTGCTTTCTTTCCCGTGGATTTAAAAACAATATCCCTCTCAGATTTAGTCTCTGATTTACAACTCAGAAATTTCAACCCCCCCCCCCCCGTGGTCCCCCCCCCCGCCTCCCCGCCACCTCCCCATTGTATAATCCCTTCGTTTAGATTTCGATTCTTGTTCTCAAAACCAATCCGCTTCAAACATTGACGCCTTGACAACGAACTCGATATGCGGACAATTCCGCCTCCTTCACGCAATCAACGCGCGCGTTGCCCGCTCTGCGCAGCCCTGCTGGGAGTGCGCAATGTCTTTGACATTGGTTCAACGCAAAGGAACAAAACTAAAGCCCGGCGCGGTGTCCACATTCGAATGTCTCTCGTCTTCGTGTCGACACTTCTCGATTTGCGACGCGCGGAACAACCCCACGTCTCAAACATTTATATATACAAAAAACAAATCCGTTCGCCGACTGAAGAATGTCTCCTCCCCTCTTGCGCCCGGCAGGCATCACCGTCTCACCTGTCCGCGAGCCCCAGGTAACTCCGATTACTCCGCCGCGCGCACACGCGCGCACTTGCCGAGCGAGCGGTACGGGGCAGCTTCCTCCTCCTGCTGCTGCTGCTCCTCTTGCTCCTATTCCTCTTCCTGCTGCTGCCGCTGCTGCTGCTCGTTGTAGGCGTGGGCTGGCGTTAGGGCCGAGTTGTCTCCGCGGCGTGCTTCATATACCCCGCGAGCTGGAACTAAATTTAGCCAGGCACGGGAAGCGTCCCAGGACCGCGCCGCGCAGCTGCGGAGCCCAGAATCTCTCGCATGCGAGGGCTCAGAGAGAGAGGGGGGTGGGGGGGTAGAGGTGGCACGGGGGGGGGGGGGGGGGGGTGGTTGTGGCTGGGGTGGTGATGGTGTGGGTAGTGGTGGTGGAGGGGCGGGGTGTGAGTATTGATGTGCCGTGAGTGTGTGTTCTGCGTATGGATCGGCAAGGGGGTAAATGAGAGGTGGGGGAGAGAGGAAGGGGAAATTTAAAGGAGAGGTAAGAGGAGAGATAAGGGAGGTGTAGGGGAGATGTAAGAGAGATAGAGGAGATGTACGGGAGAGGTAGGGGAAAGGTTGGGGATTGACTGATTGGTGGACAGGGACGGTGCTGCTTCTGGTGGTGAAGTTGACACTGCGTTACTGTGACCGTCCGTATTTGTATCTCCGCATCACGTGGCACGCAGCGCGAGCCCGGAACCCATGTAGCCGGAATATGCAACCCCCACGAGACTCGCAAAGGAGGAGACATCCTCAGCCGTGGTGCAGTCACTACGCTGGTAGAAAGGGGTTGGTGGATTACCTAGAGATTGGAGGAGCGATTTTGTGGGGTTAACAGCACAGCAAGTGGGTCCATGATGATCAGACTGTGCGGGCGGACCTCTGGGTGAGCGTTATCCCTGATTCCGCGTGCTGGGTTTTCTCCGGGTTCTTTGGTTTTGGAACGCGTTTCGGGGAATTAAAATAAATTAAACAAAACGAACAGAACCCGGCTAGTAACAACAGCACGTGTAACAAACGGGCGATCGGGAAATCGCCCTCATGGAACCCAACGCGTGATTAAATTAAATAATAAACATCACTCACATGCATCAATCTACCCCTGGCTGAAGGCCTCCGCGCGCCGTGTCAGCGATGGGATTTATTTGACCATACTTCACCGCGCTGGTCGTAGCGGGGTGGGTTGATGCAAGGGCTTCGGTTTGGGGGAGGGTGGGGGGGGTGGCCCAGAATCGCTTTAATGATCACTCGCACGCTCTGCTGATGATGTTAGCCGTGACCGGGGCGGCAGGCTATGATGTGGTCATTTGAATTCAGGTCGGTGACCGCGGCCCGGTTCACAGCGCGAGTGCGCTCACCACTGCGCCACCGCTCTCCCAGTCAGAGCTGCCACCCTAAGCAATACTCGCGTGTGTGTGTAGTTGATCTGTTACGGGTCGGTCAGTGCTCATGGGCAATGTGTGGTGGTAGTGGTGATGTATGCATATGCGGCCACCCCAATGATTCGGCCGTGATGAAGTATTCTCGCCAATGTACAGATCTCACCACCACCAACGGATGGAACGCGATAGCCTCCTCCACTACCACCTCCACCACATCCTCCACCACCACCTCCTCCACCACCTCCTCCACCACCTCCTTCACCACCTCCTCCACCTCCTCCACCACCTCCTCCTCCACCACCTCCACCACCTCCTCGCGGAGGGCCCACCCGGCACGCGTCTCCACGCACCTCGCGAACCCTGCAGGGGTCGAGCGGTCGAGCCGTGGTGCCGGAAAGAGGCCCTCTGCCGATTAAGGGCCACAAACCGATGGTCGGACGAGGTCTCCGAGTGAGCCAGCGGAACGTCGAGGGACTCTCAAGGCCCCGGCGTGACTTTCTGGCCACGACTCTAAAGAGACGACAACACCGACGGGGGAGGAGGAACGGCGAAAAGACACCAACTCTCTTGGCTGAAGCCTTCTCGTCGTGGCCAGCAGGAGAAACGGGACCTCGATATTGGCATCGAGCTCCTGCACGTCTCGCTGCTGCCATCGTGCGCTAAAATCGAGGTGACCCATTTCGAACGCGGGCCGTGCACTTCGCGGTGGCGATGTGGAGGGGTGGTAGCGCCACTCCGTGGAGGATGATTATAGTGGTGGTGGCACAATCAAGGGTGGTGGGGGGGTACAGCTGGTGTATCTACCAGTCATCTCAAGCCAGCCAACCCATGGCACCTGCTGGGTCTGTCCCGAGGCCTCATGCCAGCGAGCCTTCGACACTTCACGTGGCCTCAAAGTGCACCTGGCCTGGCACAGGCGCCGTGGTGACGTCACGGTCACTTCGCGGCGAATGGCTGTGGTTTTGGTGGTGGTGAGAAGGAGATGATGATCATTTAGCTCCGGTCGGTAACCAAAATAAAAAGCAGTAATTTTTTTCGAATTCGGTCAACCCCCCCCCCCCCCACCGTCAATATTTGAAGAGCCGCAATGCACGTGGTGAATAACGGTGACGAAACAACAGTCATTAAAGAGACGCATGGGGCTGCGGAGCCGCAGGTTGCCGATCCCTGACTTAGCGGGTCCGATATAGGGGCAGTGCCGGATGAAGCTAGTGCGGGGCCTGTAGCATATGTTATAAAGGGGCCCTAAATAAAAAAAAACACGTAAATATTAAAATATTTTTTTTTACTTCTATAGTAAAGTAGTCTCATTTGCTATACAGCCAGATAATACAACAAATCGCTCACCTCAAACACCCAGCCGTTCATAAAAGTTGAAGGCAGTATAGTACTATTGTAATAGAGCAAGTGCAGAATCACTGAACCTAAATTGATAGCTTGAAAGCATTTAGCTCTGGGCCCATCGCAAGTGCGGGGCCCGTAGCATTTGCTACTTTTGCTACTCGGATAATCCGGCACTTGATATAGGTGTCAATTTAGACAAGATATTACGCCCGTTTGCCAACCGTGTTGGTCACGGAGCATTGTTTGGTAAAGGTTTGGGTAGAGGTAGAGTGGTGGTTGGTGGTATACGGTCGGTTTAAATATCACTCGCCACTGATGTTGGCCGTGGCCGGGAAATGGAACTCCGTGGTTGGGTTCACAGCGCAGTTGCGTTCAAGCACTGCGCCACCGCTCCACTAACCCGATCTTTATTATCAGCCGAGTATATATAAAAACATATTATTTTGGTCTTTCGGCAAAGTCACGTAGATAGGTTCAAAGAAAATAACAAAACTACGACGTTTCGATCGCAACACCGACCTGCAGTCACGAAAGTTTTAAGTCAAGATTTATAAATATAAAGTGACATATCATGTTACCGTGCAGTGTTATGAATAGTATTGTGTTATATACGATGTTGTTAATGACGGGCGTGGGGGTTAGGTGCTGTACGCGTGTCATTGCTAATGCAGTCTGCTTGTTAAATCATCTGGCAATGCTGCTTCTGTCGCCGGGTCGGCAGTGGTTGCACAAACACAGCCAACAGTGCCACCACGCTCTCCGTGTCAATTCCACTGGAGCTAAAATGAAGAACATTTCTAATAGACCTTTATTTCGTGGGCTATGAAGGAGGACCATTGTCCGAAACGTCGCCTATGATATCAAACGTTTTTCATTTTCAGACCCTTTTATTTAAGTGACGCACGCGTTGTTTTTGTGGTCATAGCCCCACCTCGCGGATGATTTGGAGTTAACTCGAAGGCCCCGTGGTGGCGCTGCTTGTGTCGTACATGCAGACGGCACCCTTCGTGTCAACCAACCCCGCTGCTGGCAGTCCCAAGGCGCGCGGGTGCTGGGGGCTCGGCGAAGATGAACGTGGTTCTCAATGTCTCCGATGGACATGGCCTCCCCGTTACTGAGCGAATGATTGAATGAAGAGTGGACCATTCCAGGGCGAATGAGTGGAGCACTCCCGAATGAATGATTTGTTTTTGTGTCTCGTTCACCCTCCTCCACCCGTCACGTGACCAAACGCGACCTGGCATTGCAGTCACGCGGCGATTTGAACCCAAATGCCGACGTCCCTTGCGAATCGTGCCATCAGTCGCGAAAGACCTCAGTGTTAAATGCATTTGGAATGCAATTATCAAAGAATACTGACACATTGTATATCAGATGGTATATATATATATAAAATATGGTGTAAACAATAAATGGTGTATATCAGATGGTATTTTTTGACTCTCCGTCGAACGAAGATGGTCACCGCATCACGCGCTTTCAGATGCGCTTCTGCGGCCTTCTGGAACGCCCCTCAATCCAATATTAGGAAGCCACTGGGAGCCATGACACTTTTAAATCATCTCTATTGAAAACTAATTTCTTTAGAGCTGCTTTAAAAAAAAAGTACAAATTGCATTTGATTTTACCAGGTAAGGCCCACTGAGCTATATAACTATTTTGTCAGAAACGACTGACAACAAATGATAGACCAATGGTGGCTTATCATGTGGAAATGTACACCAGCCAAATACTCGAAACGCATGTTTCTAAGTGTGGAGGGACAAACAGGAGGACCGGGAGAAATGTTTACGCAGAGAGACACGCAAACTCCAAATATACAGCAGGTGGCAGTCGGGATCGAACTCGACGACCTCTTGCATACCCGGCGAGGTAGTTAACATCTCGCCACCACGGCGTATATGCAGTATATCAGATGGTATATACAGTACTGTATATCAGCATTCCTGTCAACCCCTTATCGGTGGCTGCCTTATTACAGACAAATTCAGACCTTATTGGTCTAAACGTTCATCCAACAGTCCCATAACAAGGGAGAAACACAAACAAATAGACACAATTTTTTTTTGCCCGTACTGAAACGGCTGTACGCCGTATGGACCTGCAAACTCAATTTCCCTGTGCAATAATACGGGGGGGGGGGGGGGGGGGGGGGGGGGGTTAACCGTACGGGTTGCCACGGTGTGTGTCAAACAGACAGGCGGTGACGGCAGTGTTGCCCTGGGTAGGAGGCGCCGCTCAATATCAACAGCTTCTCGCGGGGGGCGGGGCTGTTGAAGGGTCGTGAGGAATGGGCGAGGGGGCGGGTAGCTGCGGAAATTTGTACGGGTGATGGGATGTAAAATAAATAACTTTGTTTTTGTTGTTGTGCGTGGAGAGACTCATACAGTATGGGAAAGAGAGACATCGACATATTTTTTTATGTAGCGATTCGCCTATCTGTTGGTATGCTTATTTATTTAATTACAATGATTTGAAGCTTTCGTGACTGCAGGAATCCATACTCTTTGGTTATTTCGGTAAAGTCACGTAGTTAGAAATACAATTTTAAAAAATCACGACGTTTCGGGCGC